TTTTGCCTCTTCTTAAGAACTGCAGTCATAATGCTCAAGAATCTCAGCTTTAAATTATAGACATCATGTCTGAGTACACATTTCACACCAGATTATCTAATCAAAATGTCTTGATGTCACTGTCTCTACACTCCAGCTTTTTGGGTGTGGGCTCTGTTGCCCAGGTGACGACCTCTCACAACACTAGGGCGACTACCTGTCAATCAACCTCGGGGTTTGCACTGGGCACCACATTTGGAATCTACATTGCAAAAGGGGTATCAGGTACAAACTCTCCAGTACAGCTGTGTATATTAATACTGTCCTTGTAAAATAAAATATACCCATTTGTTTAAGGAGCTCACCTGAATCCAGCGGTTTCCCTCAGCCTGTGTGTCCTGGGCAGATTTCCTGGACTCGTTTTCCTTTCTATGTGTGGTCACAGATTTTAGGAGCATTTCTGGCTGAGCAAACTGTTGCTCTCAGTATATGGTGAGTGCATGTTGGCCTATGTGTAACCTACCTGTATATAAAAACACAGTACAGTAAGTACATCCAAATGAAGGCACTTATTCATACAGTATGTATTTGGTTTAGATGCCATAATGGAGTTCACTGGAGGGCATCTGACAGTTAGTGGTGCCACTGGCACAGCTGGTATCTTCTCCACTTACCCAGCAGACTACCTGAGTCTATGGGGAGGAGTGGTAGACCAGGTCAGTAACCAAAAAGTGGAAATCTGCAGTTTGAAACGCTAAGACTGTGTTAAGGATACAGGACTTTCATAAGATCACAATAACCAAACATTATAGTGCCAGACCAGTTTTATGCTTAATCAGAGATTACCTTTCATGTGTGTATGGCTGTTTGGGAATCACAACAGACTGGGTCATCTGACCAATCAGAGCAGAGTTCGTGGAAAGGAGGGGTTGACTGAAGAAACTGAAGTTGATCGAGCTGTTTCAGACACTGTGAGAAAAGACGGATTGGTTGAAAAAGACACTTTAATTTAGAGCATGTCCTTACAAGTGTACTTACCCACTACTGAGGAGTTAAGTTAAAGTTTAAGGGTAGGCTACTATAAGTGCCATTACTACAAGAAGTGCATGCTATGTTAATGCAAAACAGGACCGTGAAATAAAGTGCTACTGATAGATTGCATTAAAAATCAAATATTCTCTCAAACATGATAAAGAATTTCAACTTCATGATATTCCAATTTCACTTGTATAATAAATTTGAAAGGACACTGAGGTCCACAATATTTCACCAAGGTCCATCCTTATGGAGAATTCTGGCCTTGTAACTGATTTAGTTACACATTTGTATTTAGCTATTCAAAACAAGACTAGTTTTCATAGGTTTGTTTAGCTATTCATAACTAGAGTTTTGTAAATAGCTAATCCTTTATTCACACACAATTATATGCCTATGACACTGACATGGCCAATTATTACTGATATCCTGAGATTTCAGTCCATGGGAGTTTATAGAGGTAATATTAGCAGAACACAATGCATTTCTGAACACGTTTGAAGTAGTTTGAGAAGATAAATGACCCCAGGAGTCACAACACCAGGATCACGCTGACCTCTGTTTGGCTGAATCAGGAAAAAACTGTTCAGGTCAGGTCATGGAATTCATTGTTTAAAGCTATTGTGGTGGTGACGGTATTCCAGTATGCTTTGCAATTGAACAAGTTCGAACAGGTTTGGATCCAAATACTCTGAAGCAGTGGTGTAGTCTAGTTTTTTGTAGTGAGTATACTGCGATATACCCGCAGCCCCACTCCCCCTTCCCCCATCCACCGCCACTACCACCCATTTTCAAAAAAATTTTAAAAACTTGTGTGATATTCCTTTAAAATTATGTTTTAATAGATTTGATTATTATTATTTTAAAAAGTACATTTTACGATGCAATTTCTTTCATAATTCCCTCGAGTTACTTTATTTATCTCTATAAACTTTTAATTTGGTGGGTTGTGAATTAAAGACATTTGAGGTTCTGTGTGTTTTAATAAACTATTATTATTATTATTATTATTAGGCCTACTTGAAGTATACTCTACTGTGCAATAGTAATATATTTCTTTATATTTTCTTCAAGTTATACAAAACTTTGATTTTGACAGGTTGCATGAAACAGTGGCATCACTGAATTTTGATCATTACTTATATTTTTTCTAAAAACAAATTTAAAAAAAGTTTAGGATCTAATGCTCACTATTAACCAGTTTCATGACATGAAAAGGTAGGGTTTTATAATCACTGTTTTCCCGAATGTGAGGTAGGTTAGTTAGGGGGGTTCAGGAATTCACTGAGAAAATTTTGATTTCTCTGATCTACACATGTGCATTTTAGGATGTTTTGAAGGCCAAAAAAATTAGATAACTTTAAAACCATGTCAGTGGGCAGCTGATTATTTTTCTCTCCTCATCAGCATCATCCTCTTTTTCTCTTTGTTTTTTATCTTGTCCCTTATCCCTGTCTCTTCCCCTCCTAAAGCTGAGCTTTGACTGATATAGGCTTTTCATTTGTCTGTCAGTGAGGAAAGTAAACATAAGGTCAACTGATTTTGCCTATGAATAATTTTTCTCGGACACGTTTATTCACTGAAAGCTACTAAAGCTAGGTAATCAAGTTTATTAAATGCATTCAAAACATGTAGGCTACACATTCATTATTGATCTTATGCCTAAAACAGGGCCGTAGACAGGGCTTTATAATCAGAGGTCCTAAATTTGAGGTTGGTGCGTCATTTTTTTTTTTTCATTTCTCTGATATGTGCATTTCAAGACGTTTGAAGACCAAAAAAGGATAAGAAATAGCTTTAAAACCATGTCAGTGGGCAGCTTTTTTAATGTACTTAGGCTATCATTTTTATTATATTCTCAATATGTACACATTCATTATTACTCTTGTGGCTAAAATGATGAAAACGGCTTTGTTAATGTTCCCCTCACAATGACAGTAAAGTATTAAATTAAGTATGAGTCGCGTTATTTCAGTTCAAAATGGCGAAATTAGACAAAACTATATTAGTTTGCCTGATTATTTTTTTGTCATTCGTTTAACATTTATGACCTAAAAAAATGTAAAATATGAAACGTTAAGTTTAGCCACTTACATCTTTCGCACTTGCCCGTGAACTGAAGCGTCCAGTCGCTCTGCTAAAATTTTCTGCGTTTTGTATGTCAATGACAAAATCTGCTTGAGAATGGTGCATGTTAGTTTCTTTTACAAAATAACAATATAAGAAAATATTATACAATGCTTTAAAAAGATTTCTTAAAGAGGTGGCAAAGTATGTATCTTTTCTAACTTTAGTTAGTGTGTAATGTTACTGTTTGAGCATAAACAACATTATCAAAGTTACAACGCTCAAAGTTCAAAGCAAAGAAATATATTTTTTTAAAGAAAAGGACTACAACAAATGGCTGGTAGGGACTACATGACATTCCTCTAGGGTTTGTGACATCACCAACCCTAAAATGTACATAAACCCCGCCCCCGGGAACACACAGTCCATATTGAGAAGAGGAAGAGTGGTTGTATAAGAGTACATTTGTGAGTCAGCTCAAACTTTAGCATCTATCTTTTCTAGGGCTGTCAGTTTAACGCGTTATTAACTGCGTTAACGCAAACCCAGGCGTTATTTTTTTTTATCACGCGATTAACGGTCTTTTTGTCCTAGCAAACTTTGTAGTTTTTTCACATGCTTTTGCAACAGGATACGGCATGCGTCCTGATCAATTTCGGCGTCTCGCGCTCGTCATCCACTCACAGCCGGCTCGCAAGCCGAAACGTGTGTTTGCGGCGTGCCTGTTGTTTTGTTTCCGGTCTAGATCCGCTTGCGCTTTGGTCGAAGAAGCAACAAAACGTCCTCGCGCGGCGCAAGCCATTGAAATGAATGGGTTTCAGAGCGCAGCGCGAGGACGTTTTGTGCCGCACACACTCGTTTCGGCTTGCGAGCCGGCCAGATAGTAACGTTACGTTTGAGTGGATGACGAGCGCGAGACGCCGAAATGGATGCCCTAACATTCTGAATAGAAAGTTTACTTTTAAAAAGTTGCCAAATTGTCCCATTGACAAGACCAAGTGATCTGTGTGTTTTGTCGTTGTGAACTGAGCTATCATCATCGCAGCTCGTCCAGTCTGAAACACCACTTGATGATGGCCATCAAACACACACACACAGATAATGCGAATACTCCACCCCCTCGTCAATATCAGGACCTCGCCAGTATTTCTTTCACCCTTTTATTGATAGACAGTGTTACATTGTGTGAGAGATTATTTATATATATTAGTGTGAAATTGAACACTATTCCAATGTTATTTTCAATAATAATTTTTCCACTTTTCCATATTGATAAGAGCATTAAAATGAGAAAAAAATAATGTAACAAAAAGAAATCAAGAGACATTTAGAATAGATAAAAATCGCGAGTTAACTATGACATTAATGCGATTAATCTCGATTAAATATTTTCATCGTTTGACAGCACTAATCTTTTCACATGCAATAGAAAGTCATCTCACAACAGTTCCTATATGAGTGATTTATAGATTACATGACAGAATATCCTAATTGAAGATAGTTAACTCCACATCAGCAAAATAAATTCATCAACTAACCATTCGAGACGTCCTGTTGCATTCTACGTTATCACTTCTTCTTGAGTCGCTCCATCTTTGAATGACTCCATTTTAACATTAAAGGGAGAACAGTTTCTGTCATTTTAGTGTGTCTGCATGAGGAAATCACAGCTGCTAATCCATGTGCTAATCACAGCCGCCCTCTACAGCAGCTCATTTGCATTTAAAGGGCCAGGCACAAAACGGTGCGTTTTTGCCAACCCTCGAAAAGTTAAAACCTTAACATGCTATATAAAAAGATCTGTGGGGTATTTTGTGCTAAAATTTCACACACACACATGGGGACATCAGAGATTTCAGCCCGTTCTCATCCTTTAACGTCATATAGAACGCTATATGCAAAAACGGCGCTATACTACGCACACGGCACCCTTTATCGTTAATATAACACGCGAACCCAAGACGTTATAAATCCTTTAGCGTGAATATGACACGCACACCCTACCCCACACCTAAACTTAGCCCTCACAGCGCGTGTTATATTAACGATAACGGGTGCCATGTGCGTAGTATAGCGCCGTTTTGTCATATAGCGTTCTATATGAAGCTAAAGGATGAGAATGCGTTGGAGATTTATTTTACTTCTTGTGAAAATGGCATTTTACCACCCCTTAAAACGTGTGCTTGTCCTGCAGATAATTGGCACTGCTGCTCTTCTAGTATGTGTTCTTGCATTGGGAGATCCTCATAACACACCAGCACCTCCTGGTCTGGAGCCTGTCCTGGTAGGAGCAGTTGTCCTGGTCATCGGGATTTCAATGGGATCTAACAGTGGATATGCCATCAACCCGGCACGAGACATCGGACCAAGACTCTTCTCTTACATTGCAGGCTGGGGAGACGAGGTGTTCAGGTAAGTGTAGCATACACACAATGTCAAAGGCTTCTGATCAATTAATTATGCACACAAATATTATCTTTGTTACTTATACTGTATTTTACACCACTGTTAGTGTCGGTAACTTTTGTCAATGTTTTTGAAAGTAACATTTGAAAATAGAAATCTTTTATTGATGACACTTTTGACACTTTATTATGACACTTTTGATCAATTTAATGCATTTTTGCTGGATAAAAGAAATATTAAATAGCTCCTTTTATATATATATATATATATATATATATAAAAATCTTATAGTCCCCAAACTTTTGAACAGTGGTGTTTTTTTTAATATTTACAGATAACCTTTTGGACATTAACATGAGATTATTTGTTTTCAGGGCCGGACATGGATGGTGGTGGGTACCGTTGGTTGTAACATGTGTTGGTGCTCTTCTGGGTTCATTACTTTATGAGCTGCTGATTGGAGTACATCATCCAGACTCAGAGCCAATGGATCCTGAAGGCCTGACAGCGAAGGTCCAGCAAACTCTGGAGTTAGACAGTGTCCAGTCCAAGTTTGACACCATTAAAGAAAACGGCAAGGAAAGAATATTTTCCATTACCTCAGCAGATATAAGATAAAGCGAAAAGAATCGGTCAAATGTGTGATGGAATCTGATTTGTTACTATTTAAATGTTAAATGCATTCAATTTTTGGAAGCAATCATTATCACAGTAATTGTCTGGCAAAGTATTGTGGTCTTCTATATCTTATCTAGTAATTTTAGATTTCTTTGTAGGTTTCTAATCAAATGTCAACAATGGCGTTGTAAAAACCTGAAGGCTGGCTGATGTCTTTAAAACGTTACTATTTAAAACACAGTTACTATTTGTAACACTATCTATTCAATGCTGAATTGTGGTTCAGTAAAGAGTGCTTTATATTTTCTTTTGTTAGAAAAAAATCGAAATATACTCGATACCAGTTCTAATGAAGCGGTAAAGCTTTACAGTAATATTTTTTGTTTGTTTATTAATGTTAATATGAATAATTTAAACAATTAACATGAACAATGATTAATGCATTGACACATGAAACCTCTATACTAAAGTGCTATCTATTAATTTTCTACCTACAAAATGTTTTGATTTTAGATGTATTTTCAACATTAATTGCATTGCATTCAAAGATTGATATGAAACTATGTCCATTTTCTATTATTATGTGTTTCCCAGCATGCAAAGGGACATAAATCATTAAGGACACCATCATCTGTACCGTACCAATTTACTGTTTTATTTAGAAATAGAACTGACACAGATGTACGGCAGTGAAACAGGCAGGTCATCACAGAATAAGATGGCTGTCTATAGACTGTCTATGTATGGGATGTATACATCTATTACTGGAGAAAGTCACACTCTCACAAGATGATTCACACGATCACAATATTATTTTTAAGAAATGTGGTTTTCGACAAGCACAGAACTTTCTGATAGAAAAGACTCTTATCAAAGAAAAAAAATACACAAACGACATTCATATTTGTACATAAATCGCCATAAAACACACAAGCAATCCTTCAAACTCAGTGTCGATTTTTTTTTTCAATCGGATGAAGTCGTAAAAATTACATCAGGTCCCGAACACAAAATTTCACTACTAGCTTTTCGATATCACCTTTCAGCTTTGAAATAAAAAAACAAAAAACAGACCAAACTTATTCACATTTTCAAATGCAACAACCATATCAAACTGATGTACTGCATTTATACACATTTAAAATGTGCTCAAGTGTATCTGTGGCAGAAATGTTTGCATGTTTACTTATATTGACCTTTTTTGAATATTTAAACTTTACAATTCACCTTTGACCTCATATACGTGTTCTTCTTGCACAAATGAACCTTTTCCCACTCACTTATTTTAAGTTCTCAATGATTATAAAAAGACTGATGAATGCTTCAATATAAATAAATATCAGTACTACAATGTCTGTACAATATCATAACATTTTAAAGTCAGTGTTTTCCTTTATTTGTAAAAAAAAAAAAAAACCCTTCACTAGCACCCTTTTTGCTTTAATGCTTTTGTGGATTGACGAAACCCAGTAGACGCTGAATTGCTCGAAATGTAAAGTAGTTTTCGAGCAATACAAAGCCTTGACCTTGTAAAATGTATTTAAAAGGCTGAGGATGTTACAAACAGGGAGCGATTGGAGGAAAGGGGGAAATAACTTTATATCTTTGTATTTCGGAAGACAGATCACATTACAATCATAACGACAGGTAACATTTTCCAAATTATATGCATTATTTTAAACTCATCTTATTGGCTGGTTCAAAACCGTGTCCTGCTTTGCAATGGCTTTTCCTTTCTCCCCTTTCCCGTTTGACTCGTTCTACAAGGGCTTGTCGGTCCTGTGTGCCGTGATGAAGGCCATGCCATGCGTGCGGAAGTGTGTGTTAAGGTCCGAGGTTTTGTCGAAGCGCCGGCCGCACACCCTGCAGCTCACCCCTCCCTCCCCCTCCTCCCCCGCTTTAGGCGAGGACGGCGACCCGTCCTGCGGAGACGAGCCAGGTGACGCGTTTCCACCACGACTGTCCTGCTGGCCTTGGCGCAAGCGGTGCGTGATGAATTTGTGTCGGCTGAGAGAGCCGGCCGAGGCGAAACAGGCTCCGCATTGCAGGCACTGCTGAGACGCGTTCTCCGCGTCACAGTGGACGGGAATGTGGCGCTGGAACTCTTCCCAATCCTGGGTGGTGAAGCCGCAGGGCGTGCAACGGAACGTGCCGTCGTCCTCCTCCTGCTCGACCGGTCGGTTTTCAGACGCTCGAGTTCTCTTCGCTGGACCCGCGGCGTCCTCTCCCGTGACGTCGTCCGTATCGGCGGCGCCCCCTCCAGCTGGAGCTCCGCCCTCATTGTCAAGCTCAGATGAACTGCCTGCCCCGTCACCTGGAAGTGAACGCTTTCTGGTGGTTGGACCGCTCTGAGAGAAGAAACTCAAATGAATGTGTGGATAATTAATTATAATAAAGTATTAAGAGTGTCTAAACTGACCTGTCTGTCTGTTGTCTGTCGCGCTCTAATGCCATGTCTGACCCGAATGTGCTTTTCCAAAATCAGACGACTACTGAATGTACGCTTGCCCTCTGAGCAGTGCCTGAAGAGAACAACATAATAATCAAATAAAAGAATCATTTTAGGAAGGGAAAGAAAGATTCAAATCAATTGGTGGTTGATGAGTATTTGACTCACGGGCAATGGAAGACTCTCTTGACGCCCTCATGTATTATTCTGACATGTCGACGAAGGCTGTTGGCTGAACTGAACGAACGCTCACACAATCTGCAGGGGAACTTCTTCATTAACTAGAGGACGAAATTAAAACATACGGTAGGCATAAAACAAATTTAAAGAATAGTTTTTTTTATTCAAAGTAATTACATTGTATATATAGGTCAAAGATGGATTGTAAAGTGTAATTAGTCAATATTGAAAATATATTTGGGGTCAGCAAGATTTTAAAAATAGATTTATACTTTATCCAGCAAGGACGTATTCAATTGATCAAAATTGACAGTAAAGGCATTGTTAAAAAAATAAAAAATAAAATAAATGCTGTTTTAAATGTCTTCAAATAAATGAACTTTCTATTTACAAAGAATCCTCTGCATAAATATTAAGCAGCACAACTGTTTTTAACATTGTTAGCATATTAAAATGATTTCTGAAGGATCATGTGACACTGAAGACCGGAAATCACTTTCCCGCATCACAGGAAAGCATTACAATTTAAAAAAAATATTGAAATAGAATTTTTTTTTATTTTTAATTGTAAAAATTTCATAATATTAATGTTTTTACAATATTTGCAGCCTTGGGGAGCACGAGAAAAATCTTACTGATCCAAACTTTTGTGCACACATTTTTTTTTTAGAAAAGTAAATTACTGGGGAAAATAATGACATTTAGAATTTTCTTTGTAAATTAAAATTAAATTGATCAAAATAAATAAAATATTTTAAATGCTATTAATTATATTTTTGCATCAATTACAAATGCATGCACAGAAATATAGAATATAAATCACACATTTATAATATATAATAATAATATATATATTATATATAATAACTTGTGTGCTTGCGCGTTCTTGTGATTGCTTCTTGCTGTGATTGTATGTTTTCAGGAGTACCAACCGTGTCGTGGTCGTTCTTCATGTGGTCGATGTAATCCTCTCTCTCAGGAAAGCGTTTCTTGCACTCCCTGCACCTCCACTCCATATTCCCGCTCTCTGGAGAACTCGGCTGATCTTCCTCCTCGTTCTCATTCTCCTCTTCTTCCTCCTCTTCTCTCTCCTCCCCTTCCTGCTCTCCCTCCTCTTCTTCCCCCTCCTCTTCCTCCTCTCCCTCTCCCGGTCCCTGGCTCAACTCATCTGAATTGTTTTCAGCTGGTTTGGGTTTAGTGGTGGAGTTGTTGGCAGGAGCTGAGACAGGAGATGAGGTGGTGGGCGGAGTCTCTGCTTTGACGGACAGGCCTCTATGAGCAGTCTAAGGGGAAATAATGAAAGGCAGCTCTGGTCAAACGCATGAGTGAGGCAGACAGGAAAAAAAAGACAATTCACATTGAGGTGACTTTTGTACTTGGTATGAGCTTTAGACAGTGTGATAGACAAAAATCACCCAGTAAAAGCCAAACCAAGAGTTTTCCTGTATGCCTTTGCTGACACCACATACTTTAGGGGAAGTGAAAAGAATGGGTAACACAAAAGGCAAAATGACAATCCATTCATTTAAAAATAAATCAATTAATATACTTTAATGGCTTGTTACAAACTAGATCATAAGCTTATTATTAAAATTTTAATTGTTAAGATAACTACCTTGATGTGTTCCATCATGGACCCTTTCTGGGCATAAAGTTTAGTGCAGTCTGGGCATTTGAACACGTGCACCTTCTGTTTGGCCAGGTGAGTGTCAAAATGCATGTAGAGCAAAGGTTTCTGGGTGAACACAGTGTCACACATGACACACTTGTAGATCATCCTGTAGAACGAGTATAAGAATATAATGAAGATCAGAGTTCATATCTTTATTTCACATTCATGGCACCGTTCATTAAAAGCTGTGGGTGATGGTTCAACCTACTTAGCCTGTGCAGCTGTGAGGGCGGGATGCTGGGAAGTGATGTGCCCCTGGGCGCTCTGCGCAGATTTGAAGGCCATCGGGCAATTGGGGCACTTATGAAACACCTCACAGTGAGCTGTCTGAATGTGGGACTTGATAGAATTCAAACCTCCAAACACAACTTGACAACTGGAGCACCTGAAATAAAGGAAGCAGATTTGAGCACGTGGAAGTGCAATTTCTTTTATTTCTTTGCAGGAAATCTCCCAAGGAAACTGCCTGCAATATACACTGATAGGAAATTTAAAGCCAGGAACCTGTAGCCGATGCGCCTGGCAAAGTGCAGACAGGACTCCTCCAGATGGGTCTGAAACGTGGCCTGGCGGGCAGTGCCACCACACTCTGGGCACACATGGGGTGCGCGATGCTTATGGATCCGCTGATGGGCCGACACACTGCACCAGTTAGGCAGCATCATGGGGGGAGAGCAGAGCATACAAGTCTGAAATAAAAAAGAGACCGCAGGGGAAATATAAAGGAGTTAGTAAATAAAGTAATTTGATCTACTTTATACAACTTATTGGTTACATTCTTATGTAATTCACATTTCTTCAAAAATAAACATTAAATGCGTAGCATTTCTTTTGCAATAATTTACAGTCAGACTGAATGCAAAAATATCTCGCAATTATTCTTATTATTACATTATTCTAAATATATTATTCTTTTTTTAAATAAATTATTATTCTTTTATCGAAAGCCATTTGTTTTCAGAAATAAATGACACCTTGCACTTGAAGATAGGACATTGTTTCACAATTTTACAGTAAAAAAAATAAATATGTGAAAACAACCTATTTTAGCGTCATGTTCTAAAGGGTTAAACAAATATTTTAAATTAACCGTCTTGTTGTTTTTACATTATTTCGGAGATTCAATATGAAAGTATTACAGCATGACATATATAAAAAACCTTTAATGTTAGGTACGATTAATTTCCAGAAATAAAACCCCTGCACTTAATTATCGATTGACAGGATTAAAAAAAAATATATACATATATCAATCTATATATATATATATATATATATATACACACACAACATTTTTATATCTGTCAAAAATAAATATTATTTACTTTTTAATATTATATATATATATATATATATATATACACACACAGACACGTATATAATATATGAAATGTATTTCTGACAGACACCAAAATATGTTAATTTTATAATTTTAATAAAAATATAATTTTTGTGGTGAAGTAAAAATGCTGGAAAGGCATGTAAAACATTTCTGATTTTTTCATACCCATCAAAAAGAAAATCATTGTGTTTACAACATGTTTACAATTTTGCAACTTACCGAGTTAGGAGTCGCTCTGATTTGCTGGAAATGGGTCACTAATTCAGCCTTGTTTGAAAACTGGGCTTGGCATTCAGGACACTTGAAGTTGTGATATTGCAAGGCCTCGCCTTTCTTGCAGGGCAGCGGCATCAGGGCTTGGGGACTCTGGGGTCCGCGGCGGGCAGGGCTGGGCTGGGTTGAAGCCGTGCC